AAATGGTCCAGGGAGACATTAGTGCTTATTGACAATATACTCCTAAATACTCCAGGAAGAACTACAGAGGCACTTTCATTCACAGGTCACATTTGCAAATAAGTCTTATAATTGAGGATTTTTCAATACTCTTAAAAGAAAAAAAAAACTATGCATACATATATTTTATTGTATTTAAACAGATGGCATGAAAGAGCAAGATTATAGAACCAAACCTTACATATGACTCCTTGCAGAGGGCAAAAGAATTTTTACTACTTTTAATATAATTTCTAGTTGACTATCACCAATACATGTACCTGAATCTGGGTTGCAACCCCATTTTATCCAATTCTTGCCTGTTTTTACAGATATCCAATAGACACAGCAAACTAAAAAAAATAAAAGTCAAGTACACAGGTCAAGTCCTTTTTAACCCAAGCACCTCTAGTAATTTTAAATTAAGTTTTCAAGAAACTACCTGGCAAACATCTTGTAAGATGTACCAAAAGTACTTCCAGAAAGATACTGGGCATGATCAATCAAGTTTTAAGCTTGAGGTGATCCTGTGACCATCAAGTATGAATTTCCACACAGAGAACAAAATTTTTCAGAGACATTCCCGAATTGCTGCTTAACTAGTGTGCAGAAGTGAAAAACAGTTTTAATGGTGATTCTAGAAGATAATTCATATGCAGAAAAAGAGTATTAAGAAACAAAACAATATAACACAAACTTTATACAGAAGAGTTAAAGTGCACAGTAACCACAGTGCCATTTGACAGATAAAAGTTCATAAACAAAATTACTTTGCAATTTTTCCTATATGAAATTAATCTGTTTACATTCACCAACTCTAAGCAGAAATTTATCTCTGATGTTTGCATTGCTTTATGCATATTTAGTTAAATTTCCTGAGTTGAACTTGTGGTTGAGTGGTTATCAGGACTGAACATTTCCCTTCACTAAAGCAGATAAGGCCTGTTTCATGAAAAGACATGAAAGGGAAAAGCTGTATCAAAGGACAAATTGCATCCTAGAGGTTTTTATTATATTCCCAGTACTGCTAACTGGAATGACAATCACACTGTAACATACATGTCTTCACTTGATCAAAAACAATTCGCTTTTCAAACTAAGTCAGACAGATGGAAGAAAACAAGTACATTTAAACAGAAAAGACATTCCTGGTAATTCCCAGTTCTGAGCAAATTTCCAACTTCAGACCCTTAGCTCTGGGAAAAGGTTTACCATATCAAGATTGGTAGAGTTTATTGATTTTTTATGGCGCTCTAATCAAATCATTCCTTGAGAATCTGCCCAAGATAGATGCCCAGTTTCCTAAGCTGCTAGAAGCACTTCTATGACATGGTATCTTACACTGCCCATATAAGAAGTGCAGCGATTGTTTGATACTGCAAAGCTGCCACAGCATTTGCTGATACTGTTTCCCAACTGCAAATATGAACAGAGGATTTTTTTCCTAAATGAAACAGGCTAGCATGTTGAAACATATTCGTGGTACATTGTTACTTAAGTTACACACCGGCAGTTAATTTCCCCAAACATGTCTTCAAAGATGCTTAATTTCCCAAACCGGTGAAAAAGTACTTTGTCTTCCTTACAAATTTAATCTATATATTTTGATATGTCATTTTAATTAAGATTTTACTGTAAACTGATGCAATCAAATCTATATAAAATCACGTGCAGGCAGCCCAGCCTTACACTGGCAACAGTTTAAAAAACCTCAGCAACCAAGGAACTGAAACAAATCAACTTTATTTGAAAAGTGCTAGCAAAGTTTTGTCACTGAAAATTGCCTGAAAATCTTTTAAAACAAGTAACTTTTTTGATGACTTAGAACCCCCTCTTGATCAGCAACTACCATTTGGAGCAGTAAAAGTACAGGCATTCAATACTGTAAAAGCAAAAAGTAAAAGAACTGCTGAGTGATTGTGCACCAGCACAAAACCACCACTTGTATGAAGAGCACAAAGTCAGAATCCACTGGTTTAGCACTAAAATAGCATCCAGGTGAGAAATGCTTTGGTAACAATACCTACCCTCTCTGTAGCACTTTTTATTGGTGTATCCGAACGTACTTATGCGAGGACATTATCAAACAACTATAAAGAGGGGCTACATCACAGCTGGAAATTACCCACTGACACCTTGATAGCCTACTGCACAACTGTTAGTTCTGTACCAGAAACTGATCTGATAAACTAATTCCTAAAAGGTACTTGTGTGCATACAAGTGCATGAGAAAGCCAGCTGTAGTTACATGTCACCACAGTCCTGTGTTACATTTACCAGTAACAAAGAAGTACCATCTCCCACAAACATCTGAAAAAGGCACAGAACTGTAACACCAGCTTTTTGCACTAAAAGTACATTGCTATCCCAGTATGAGTATAGCGGAACCATAACAAAGCAAGCCACACATGTTTTTAATGGCAGTAAATAATTTCCAGACAATAGGCATTTAATAGATTAAAAAAGAAAAGTCACATGCCAACACTTACACAGTTAGGATTAAAAACCTGGACATGCTACTTCAAAAAACCACAGTCCTCTTACGACTTAACTAAAGGGTGGGTTTTTTTAGCTGACTGCAGTACATATTTATCCTTCAAAGCCATCTACAAGGAAGAAACACTGCAGAGTAGGAAAATTATATGCCAGCCATTTCTCTCCAAGCTAGGCAGTACTCAGGCAGATCATCATTGGCTATCAACCTCAACAGCCTGGATCCAATCTCTACTTAACCCCATGTGCAGTCGCTAGATGAATCACATACCCACCTGGAAAGCACGTCCCAGAACATCAATCCTTTCATCTCCTAAAAACAGATGTTCAGCATTCCAGAGCTAGACTCACAGGCCAAGGTTGAAACCTCAGCTCCCTGAGCTGTGTTAGTAATTTTGCCCATTTATCTGCAACACAAGGACTTGTTACCTGCTCTAATCCACTTACAGCATACACATGGTTCATAAGGTTGTAAACTGAAGAGCCATATCCATGCAGCAGTGAAAGCTAACTTCTGGTGCTGTGGTCACAGTTCAGACAGACTAGGCAATCTTTTCCCTAGTCTCTTGTTCAATGGCAATGATGTAAGTTACAATACTTCTTGTCTGCACAGCATTTCACAGCAGCTTTCTCATCAGTCAGACACAGGACAAAGTCACTCCGCTATTCTTTCAGAGCATCAATCATGTTTCCAAGCACCAGGTTTACTCTATTTACATATTAAGGCTAAATAACAACATTCAGTAGAAGACCCTGGACAGAATTTCTTTACTGCTAACATAAACAGTCCCTTAAGCAGAACAGTAATAAATATATTATCGTGCTATTTGTTGCAGTCAATCTATTATCACGCTATTACCAAAGTCTTAAAGTTTTGTAGTAAGTAAAACGGTATTTCCTACAGTAGTGTTTTGTCTTGACTACATGTACACTTACCCACATAATGCATATTAAGGGCCAAGTACTTGTACTGGAAGAGAGGGTTGTTGTGCAGGCTACTTCTTTGGATCTGCTGGAAGAATGAGCTGACATCCCATCTGTACAAGACATCCAACAGCATGATGCTTGGGACCCTTAGGGCCACATTTAATACTGCCTCCAACTTCTCCTTTGCAGCCATTCTCTTCCCTTTCTGTGAATTGGCAGCAGACTGTAAATAGCACAAGAGAAGAGAAGAGTAATCAGATCAATCTCACTGTACAAACAGCTATTAGGCTTTGTGATCATATGAATGGGACTTCCTGTGTGGCCACAAATGACTGAATGAATCAACTGAGTTAAATTCAAATCCAGACAGGACAGCTTCTATTTTTGCTATATAAAGGTCAATTTGCTAGCAATTTTTCCATGGTGATACTGTAAAACGGGGAGGAGGGGGGTAGGTTAATGACATAAAAATGGTCCAAGGGTGTGCACCAAAGAAACTTTCATTCTTATTTACACTAATTTAGCATCCAAGACCCCAGCCAAAAGACCCCGATGTACTAGGTACTACATAAACATTAACATGATAAGCTTTAGAAAGCAAACACCAACAAAATTTAGACACTACTTCCACTTAGCTTAGGATGCCTCTCAAATGAAATAACTACTAACTAAAAGCGTTTTTAAAACATTTCAGATTCACTTCCTCAATGCAAATTGAAATAAATAATTTTCCAATATCTAAGCTTTTTTAAAAAAATCATCTACGTCATTCATTAACCTCTATGAATTTATATATTCAGGGAATTTGATGGCTGTGTGGTTTGAAGATTAGGACCAATAACACAACTATTCTGCTCACTTTAATATAATTCATCGCAAGGAATCATACAGACAACCAAATCCTCACTCCAGAGTACTAGAAGGTAATTTAATTTTGGAGCTTGACAGCAGAGAAGATGTATGATGTAAGACAATGAAGGGCGCTTTTTGGTTTTTTTAAACAGGAAAAATTGCTGGTCCACAACAGCATCTCAAAACAGATCTAGTCACTAACAGGACCATTTTAAAGAGCAGAAGGATCAATTTCCACATCCTGTCAGAGCACTGCCTTCAGCCGAGACTGACAGTTGTTCCTAAATGAAATGTGCTGTTTTTACCACATGCCACCTGCCCACCCTAGGAACAGCATTCACCCCAGGCTGTATTTGTGAGCCACTGATTATATACACTGTATTAGAGAAGAGCAGTTGAAGTATTCAAGGCTAAGGTGGGGATGATCCATCAAGTTTTTATCCAAAAGCAGCCATTCAAACAAGTAAAAACAAATCATCTGCAGCACAATCAGTCCCCTGATGAGGTCAGATTTAAGAAAAGGCTCCCAATCCCAATTATTAGGGGGACAATTGGAAAGAACTGCATCCTGACCAAAGAAACAGAAAAATGTGCACTTGGAACTTCACTTTTTAAATAAGTTTTACAGGACTTTATTCATATTGTCCTTGCATAAATTTTAAAAGTTTTTGCATTTGTGCAAGTTTTATACTATCAAGCCAACATGGAGGTACAGCATGAAATTAAACCATGCTAATACACAGAAACCAAACTATCTTGTATGGACACGCACACAACCCTTATGTGAAATTTTATTTGTGTCACCGTGGCCAAGATGCAACTATAAACTCTTCATGTGCACACCTAAAGCCACACTGACACTTGTCAAGGCATGACGACATAAAATTAACTCAGCTCAAGAAGTCAGGACAGATCAAAACTGAGATTTGGCTCAGTAAACCACAAGTTACAGGGCTGCTGCTTGTCATTGTCTAGCCCACAGTCTAACTTTCCAAGTTACGTAAATGCAGGCACTTTTTACAGAGCTCTTGCAACAGCTCTACTAACCCCATATACAGCACATCCTTCCCCTCACACAGGAAGCACCTCCCCACTATATCAGGCATCCCACACAATACCAGCATTGCACAATGCTTCCCCAAAAGAATTAAAAGGTCAGCCAGAAGACTACAAATATTTAGAATGAAGAACCAAAAGCATTGCCCAAGAAGCTACTACAGAACACTAGCATTCAACATTTAGTGGGACTAAAAGATGCAGTTTAAATGTATGGTATCGTACAAACAAAAGCTGGAAGCTACACAGATTGTATACACAGAGTTTAGCCAGGCTGCATACTGAAATACAAGCCTCCACTTGGCACGCAGCTTAAATAATTCATATCAAAACATTTTAAACATCCTGGAATTTTCAAAAACCTTTGGTTTTGCCAAGTTTGCAAAACTGATTAAAACTCTGAAATTAAGCTGCCTCTTGTTTTTTTGCTAGGTTACTTTTCCAAGTAGATCAGGGCTTAGAGGTGGGCAGGAACTGACTTACAGGTTTTCACTCTGTCACAAAAATATCCATGTAAAGTGACAACAAGCACCTGATTTCAAATGACATTCCTGTAACTGTCAAACCTTTTCCAGTCATCAACAGCCAAACATGTAGGACAAGAAGGAAATTTTCACTTGAGCTTTCACGTTCCTTAATTAGTCCAAATGCAGAATTCCATGGACTTTGCCTAATACTGGAAGTTAACTGAGGTTCAGCACACCCAAATTAGGCTGAAATATTTTGCCTCCCAAATTCACAGATGCACACTTGAGAACATAAAAGAACCGAAAAGGGGCAGCATTTATATTATCCAAGAAAACAATCTAAATTTCAAACTCTCTTAAAACAAAAGCAAAACAAACTTTGAAAACCACATTATGTCACAACAGATAGGCTACGAGAAGCAGCCATTGTAACTCTGCTGCATATTCTGTCACTGACTGACAAAGCATCCAATACTAATAAGAAACCCTTTAAAATTAAGTCCACTAGAAATGCGGATGTGTTAAATAAAGCCTCAGTTGTAATTGCTGCCAAGTTCCAACACAACCTAATACAAGCAAACAACAAAGTCCATTGCTCTAAGCTCATTATATTGTAAAAGGCTCTCACAATACATTATTTTGATTGGTGTAAAAACAAACAAAACCCCAGAAAAGCACCACAACATTAAACCTCTAAAACCTTTAGATAAATGATGATGACAGGAGTTGTTGGATCCTCAGACGTTAGGGGGAAAAAAAAAAAACAACAGGTCACTGTTGTACATAGCCAAAAAATAGACTTAAAAACAGGACTGAGAAGCCACTTGATTGTGTTTCAAAAATTTTTTCCCATGATTTCAAACATCTCCCTGCTCCAAATCAAAGTAAGAAAAAAAAACAGTCTTAGGAAGAACTTCATCTTAAGTGAGTGCAAGCACAGTTGTGTTATGTGACCAAAACCACCTTTTAAAAATTTCCCATCATAACTGATTGTTCATGGAAACATTTTTGTTTTCTAACACAGTACTTTTCAAAAATCCCTCCCTCCCTTGACATAACCATTTTGTCAAAAGCATATTCCTGGTTAACTTTCAAGAAAACAGCAGAATTAACAAAACAGAACTTTAAAAAAAAAAAAAACCCACCACCAAAAAAAACCACTATCACAAGTCTGTCCCAGCTCATTCCATTAGCAGAACAGATTAGCAGTAAACGCAACAAAGCCTCTCAAAGACAGCACACACTTTCCCTTTAACAGATTTTTCTTTCTGAGGCTTTGTCATCACATAAAATTTTACCATTACAGCTGAAGCTGTGAATTATGCCAGTTAAACCAGTGTAACTGTTGTTTATGCACCAACATAAATATAAACTTATCACATCACAGGCAGAAAATGCTCACTGATAAAGCAGTACAAGAGGTCGCACAAAATCTGCATCCATTTATCCAAGCAGGCGCAAAATTACATTAACAGAGTACAGTTTCTACATTTAGAAATGCATTAATTATAAAGTTACTTAATAGTTACATGCTGGAATATCTGAAAATTTAAGAGTTACTCTAACACTACCGCCACAAAAAAAAATCTCCATAGAAAGATACAGTAATTCCAGTCTGAATCAGAACTTCAAAACTAGACTTGATCCTGCAACATTCAGCCTAACATCTGTGAACAAGATGCTCATTCTCCTACAGGATTACAACTAAAATACTTGGTAAGCCAAAAGAGACAATTTCAACTTCTGTTCCTCACATCTATGAAATTCTAGTTACTTTGGATATGTCCATTAACAAGCAGACTTTGATCAGTAGTCTAGTTTCCACTTTAAATTATTTTTCAGTGATACATTCTGCAACTAAAATCACCAGGAAAAGCTTTTCTTTTCCCATAAGGTAAACCTTGCTAGGTACATCTTGAGGAGGAAAAAAAGGGGAAAAAAAAACAAAACAAAACAAAACACACTACACACTCAACAACTCCTATCTGTAACTATAGAAAAGTTCAGTGTCACCATTCAAAAACTAAAATTAGACTCATCAGCTGGGTTGCATTCATGCACTCCCCAGAACCTCTCCTTCTATATACCTGTCCTGTTCCTGGGAGCAAAAAGAAAGGAATCTGAAGTACAGAAGAATCCCATTCTTCAGAGGCTTAGACCTTTATATCATCAGTTTGAGAGGGAGAAAATCAAGAGAAGAAAAGAGAAGGAACAGCACGAAAAAGTTTCAGATATCTCCTGTTCCTGGGAGCAAAAAGAAAGGAATCTGAAGTACAGAAGAATCCCATTCTTCAGAGGCTTAGATCTTTATATCATCAGTTCGAGAGGGAGAAAAATCAAGAGAAGAAAAGGGAAGGAACAGCACGAAAAAGTTTATCAGATATCAGATACTTAGAAAATAATTTCCCTGTGTGAGTCTGTAGGAAAAAAACCCCTAAAACTCCGCAGAGTATGTGAGTCACCAACCCATCAAAACAGCTCTTTCCCATGCAGTCAGCAGCAAGGAAAGCAAAAGATGTCTTGCTCCCATACAATTTAAATTGGCTAACAAGGACAGCACTCAAAAATTTCTGCTGAGGCAGCCAGATACCGTGAGCGTACCAAGTGTACTAATAAAGCAATGAAACATTGCAGATGTGTACGGTAACACTGTCATTAGGACCCGGTCAGCATTTCCAATACTGCTCAGTTTTCATAGTTCACTAGAGTAGTTCAATAATTTCAAGTCATAATCAGAGAGCATTTAGCCTTCAATTTAAAGATTTAGAGAGAATCGGTCAGCAAACCGACTACTCGGTCTTGCTATGTAAGTTAACAA